CTCAAGTGATGCTCTTGCCTCAGCCTCCCGAGTATCTGGGACTACAGGCACACACCACTATGCCTGTATAATTTTTGTATTTTTGTAGAGAAAGGTTTCATCATGTTGCCCAGGGTGGTCTCAAATTCCTGGGCTCAAGTGATCCACCTGCCTTTGCCTCCCAAAGTGTTAGAATTATAGATGTGAGACAACATGCCCCACCCTACATTCACTATCTTATATGACTGTTATAATACTAGAAGTTGGACAGCTATATTGAGGAAAATATTGGGTTACTATTATTTTTTGAGACAGAGTCTTGCTCTGTCGCCCAGGCTGGAGTGCAGTGGCACAATCTCGGCTCACTGCAACCTCCGCCTCCCAGGTTCAAGCAATTCTCCCGCCTCAGCCTCCCAAGTAGCTGGGACTACAGGCGCGTGCCACCACGTCCAGCTAATTGTATTTTTAGTAGAGATGGGGTTTCACCATGTTAGCCAGGATGGTCTCGATCTCCTGACGTCGTGATCCACCCGCCTCGGCCTCCCAAAGTGCTGGGATTACAGGCGTGAGCCACCGCGCCCAGCTGAAAATATTGGGTTCTTTATCAGATGGTAAAGGGACAATATTAATTAGAAGTGCACCTACCAGTTACCTTAAGTCACACTCTCCCTGAGTCTCCTGATCCTGTTTATAAAATGGGAACACATTTTGGTTTGGCCATAGTTCCCTATCTCCAACCTCCACATATGGGTATGAGAGTACTACAAATACCATCAGCTCTCTTCTACAGACTCTGAACCCAGCCCTGGATCTAATCCTATACCCACAACTTCAGAAACATGTTCATGCAGATACAAATCAGCTTAAAATGGCATTGAGGAATACCAGCACGTGAAAAGATGCTCACCATCACCAGCCATGTGGCAAATGCATATCACACACAGTGAGATAGAACTTCACACCCAGTAGGATGGTTATAATCAAGATGACAGATAGTGACAAATATTGACAAGGACATGGGGAAACTGGAATCCTCATACACTGATAGTAGGAATGTAAAATGGTGCAGCTGCGGCCAGGCGTGGTGGCGGGCACCTGTAATCCCAGCACTTTGGGAGCCCGAGGCAGGTGGATCACCTGAGATCAGGAGTTCAAGACCAGCCTGGCCAACACGGTGAAACCCCGTCTCTACTAAAAATACAAAAATTCGCCAGGCTTGGTGGCGGGCACCTGTCACTGAGAGCACCCAGCACTCAGGAGGCTGAGGTAGGAGAATCGCTTGAACCTGGGAGATGGAGGTTGCAGTGAGCCGAGATAGTGCCATTGCACTCCAGCCTGGGTAACAAGTGCGGAACTCCATCTCAAAAAAAAAGTTGCAGTTCCTAAAAACATTAAACATACAATTACATGACCCAGCAATTCCAAGAAATTCCAAATCCTAGGCACAGATATCCAACAGCATCAAAGCATATGCTTACACAGAAACTTATATGCAAATGTTCATAGCAGCTTTATCCTAGTAGCCAGAAGATGGAAATAGCTCAAATATTCAACTGATGGATAACCAAAACATGGTATATTCAAACTAGGGAATACTATCCAACAGTAAAAAGAAATGAAGTGGCTGGACACGGTGGCTCACGCCTATAATCCCAGTGTTACCGGAAAAGGGTCCTGATCCAGACCCCAAGAGAGAATTCAGGGTGAGTCCATAAAGTCAGTTTATTCGGAAAGTAAAGGATAAAAAATGTCTACTCCATAGGCAGAACAGCGGCATGGGCGCTCGACTGAGTATACTTACAGTTATTCCTTGATTATTGGTAAACAAGGGGTGGATTGTTCATGAGTTTTCCAGGAAAGGGGCATGGATTTCTCAGGACCGAGGGCTCCTCCCCACTTTAGACCATAAAGGGTAACTTCCGGAAGTTGTAAGCTGTCACTGCGCTGGTGGAAGTGTCTTTTAGCATGCTAATACATTATAATTAGCATAAAATGAGCAATGAGGATGACCATCTTGATTTTGGCGGGTTTTGGCCAGCTTCTTTACCACAGCCTGTTTATCAGCAAGGTCTTTGTGACCTGTATCTTGTGCCAATCTCCTGTCTCATCCTATGACTAAGAATGCCTTAATCTCCCGGGAATGCAGCCCAGCAGGTCTCAGCCTTATTTTAGCCAGCCCCTATTCAAGATGGAGTTGCTCTGGTTTGAACACCTCTGACACCAGCACTCTGGGAACCTGAGGCAGGTGGGTCACTTGAGTCCAGGAGTTTGACACGTCATGGTAAAACCCCATGTGTACTGAAAAAATGCAAAAATTAGCTGGGCATGGTGGCGCATGCCTGTAATCTCAGCTACTCAGGAGGCTGCGGTGGGAGGGTTGCCTCAGACTGGGAGGTCGAGGCTGCAGTGAGCCATGACTGCCTCACTGCACTCTGACCTGGGTGACAGATAGAGACCCTGTTTCAAAAAATAAAAATAAAAATGAAACACTGATGCCTGTTACAACGTGAACGAACCTGGAACACACTGTGCTAAGTGAAAGAAGCCAGACAAAAGGCCCAATATTGTATGATTTCAGTGAAATGTACAGAATAGGCAAATCTATAGATAGCAAAGTACTTGCCAGGGGCTGGGGCTAAAAGAACTGTCAGGGTAATTGAAGTGACTGTTAATGAGCACAAAGTTTCTTTTTGGGGTGACGACAATATTTTGGAACAGATATTGGTGAAGGTTGCATAACCTCTGAATACCACTGAGATGGTGAATTTTATGGCATGTGAGTTAAATCTTTAAAAAAAAAAAAAAAAATTGCCTTACATGGGGCTGATCTAAAATACTTTTTTGTCATCTAAACTAAACTTTGCCATAATTACAAGAATGGCTATGTCATGTTAGAATGGGAAGCTGTCTTTTGGTATCATTGCCTTATATGTATTAACTGACACATTTAAATCTTCAAAAACTCTGAGGTAGATTCCATCATTTCCACTGAAGAGGAAATGGCATCACTTCAAGGTCAAGTAACTTGCCCAAGACCATACAGTAGAAGCTATGGTAGAAATCCTGGTTCACCAGACTCAGTGTGCAGTCCGCAAATTGTTTGCATGTCTGCATACCCAGTAGGTGGATGCTCCTTAAGGACAGCAATCATCTTCTTTTTTTTTTTTTTTTTGCAGTGAAATGGCACAATCACTGCTTGCTGCAGCTCTGACCTCCCAGGCTCAAATGATCCTCCCTCCTCAGCCTCTGGAGTAGCTGGGACTACAGGTACATGCCACCATGACCAGCTAATTTTTAGGGGGGTCACCTATGTTGCCCAGGCTAGTCTCAAACTCCTGGGCTCAAGCAGTACCCCCACCTCGTCCTTCCTAAAGTGCTGAGATTACAGGCCTGAGCCACTGCGTCTGGCCTCTTCACTTTACCTCAAACCCTAGTAGTATCTGGCCAGTATGGATGCAATGACAACTAAATTTACTCATTCCTCGAATGAATACACTGGAATACAGTGTACCGTGGTACACTGGTTTGTACCACTGGGGAAATAGCCAAGAATAAGACCAGCTTCCTAGCGAGCAAAAATGCATCATTTTAGGTGGCAAATGCATTATTTTAGGTAGTAAATGCATAATTTTAGGTAGCAAAAGTTGACATCCATGAAAACAAAGGAGAGGGAACTGGGGAAGTGTCTGAGGCAAATCAAGTAAAGAAACAAGCAGTAAGACCAGGAGTGCCTTCCAGGATAAAGAACCGTGGGCACGGTACAAAAGTCTCTGAAAGAGAAGTCAGCTTTTTGGAAAAAAAGGAAGACAGGGTGGCCAGCATGGCTCGAGTAGACTGCTGAGTGACAATAAAGTTACCAAAGCAGATTTGGCCCAATCCTATTAGCCCTTACAGGCCATAGTAAGAAATTTTTGTTTTATTCTGAAACTGCTTTCTGAGGATTTTAGCACACCTGTGATGTGACTTGGGCTGTAGGGAACAGCATGCAAGAGTATTGGGGAGTAGACAGTATGGCCACTGATTATAAGGACTCTTCAATTTTGAAGAAATGACAGTGACAGGTACTGAAATGGACTGAGATCAGAAGATTGTATTAAAAATCTTATTTTGGACATGTTAATTTTGGTATGCCTTTTATGGCATTATGGCCGGGTGTGGTGCCTCATGCCTATAATCCCAGCACTTTGGGAGTCCAAGGCAGGTGGATCACTTGACGTCAGGAGTTTGAGACTAGCCTGGCCAAGATGTGAAACCCCGTCGCTACTAAAAATATGAAAAATTAGCTTGGCGTAGTGGTGGGCGCCTGTAATCCCAGCTACTCGGGAGGCTGGGGCAGGAGAATCGCTTGAACCCAGGAGGTGGAGGTTGCAGTGAGCTGAGATCACACCACTGCACTCCAGCCTGGGCGACACAGCGAGACCTCATCTCAAGAAAAAAAAAAGAAGAGAAAGAAATTAAGATGGTAGGCATTTTCTTCCTTGTTTTGCTTCAACTGCCAGAACTTATAATCAAACCATACATGTGTCGACCTGCTCAGTTCTGGTGAACTTCCTTCATACGGATGTTGCTGTTTTACCTCATACTATGTTAACAACGCCAAGTTTCCCCAAATTTTCGTTCCACTGAGTTTTAAATGCAAAACAGACTTGGTTGTACATAGCCAAATATTAAGCACGAGCGTGCACGTGCACGCGCACACACACACTCACACAACGCCGACAGAGGGTGTTCCAGTCATTCCTTAGCCTTTGTTCACTTGCTAACATGCCAGGCTCCTTCTGCCTCAGGGAATACACAGACACTGACTGCAATGCTCTTCCCTTTGCCTGGTGGACTTCTCCCATCAGTATTCTAAATGTTCCAATCACACGCTGAGACTTTCCCTTTACAGCACTCACAACAGTAATTACTGAAATAAAGATGGTAAAACCTTAATTTCATCACCTTTTCTTTCCCTTACCCAACTTCCAACACACCAAAGGGTTTACACAGGCACTATTAAGTAACTAAAAGTGAGTGGCAAAATTTTTAAATTTAGAAATTTATTCTGTTTAATCCACAAGCTTTATATAGCTTTAGTTTAAAAAAAAATCAAAACAAAAAAAAAAAAATCAAAACAAAAACAGTGAAACCAAGACACTATTCCAAAGTCTGGGCCCTTCCAGCCTTCCAAATACAAGAGCTCTGAAACTTGTATATACCAATCGGAAGAACAAGACAAAGATATGAACAGAGCCATGACATTTCATTAAACAAATTGTATGTAACTGAAGGATCCTTTCTGGGACTAGCTCATTGCCTTTACAAAAGAAAAAAACAAAACAAAAAAACAAAACCAGAAGAACAGAATGAGAGTCCAGTGTTCCAAATCAACTTGTTACACATCCATATAAACCCACAGTGTCCTGGCAAACAACATGCTTTCATTTTCTGTCTCATCCTAGAGCTCGAATCCTGATTCATTTCAGCAGAGACTCCACAGGCAACAGGAAAGATGGTGGCATTAAAATATTCATTTATACTTTTGTGGTAGTTCAAAACAGTGGTCTTATTTCTGGGCAAGCTTACAGACCATACAAGGTCAGTAGCATAACTTAAATGGGAGCTAAGACTCAAATGAAAAAAATGTAAGAAGAAGAAAGAAAAACAAAAAGAAGATCAAAACCAAAAAAACAAACAAAAAACCCCCTCTAGGAATAGCCAGGGCATTTAAAGGAACCATAAAAATGCCAACAGTATTTAAACCCCCTTTTTTAAAAAGGGAATTTTTTTTGGCTTAAATTATTTCACTCAATGAATTATGTCAGCTGTCAATGAAAGAATGTCACTAATACACTGTGGACACCTTTTGCAATGTAAATCCATGCCCCCTTTTTTTACATGGTGAACTTCAACCTAGCAATTATTACAACAAATGTTATAGTCTAAAGCTCAAACACATTTTAGCAATTTTGAAATTGAACTGCGTACAAACCAAATAAAATTTACATCATAACAAACATTTCCCCCTAAGACTGTGGGGACACTTGGGCCTTCCTCATTGATCTCAGGGCCTTTTCACGCAGGTGCTTTTCTAAATCATCAAGGTTATCTTCAGCTTCACTTTCAGTCTCCTAAAAAAAAACAACAGAATTTACTTGGTTAAGTCTTAAGACACTGGTGGGAAATGCTGAGTAAAGAGCAAAATCAAAGTGTGGGGATGGCCGACGACTGAATATACTAAAACCCAGGGAACCACAAACTGTAAATGGCTGAACTGTTTGGTGTGTGAATTTTATCTCAGAGTAGTCAATTAGTAGAAAAAACAATTTTGCTACTTCTCAAAATAAAGTGACTTTGCTATCTGTACGTATACTGCAAGAGAGCCATACACAGAGTTCATAAATACCTTCTTCGGCTCTGGCACTGCCACCGGCTCTTCCTGTGCTAATGTGGTTGTGGCAGCTGCAATGGCTGCAGGGGTCACAGCAGCTGCAGCAGCTGCAGCCACAGCCTTTTCCTTCTTGTGTTTTTTGTGCTTCTTGTGCTTCTTATCCTTTTTGTGTTTCTTGTCCTTCTTTTTCTTCTTTTTCTTTCCACCTCCTTCTTGATCTGAATTCTAGGAAGGGGGAAAAACAAAAACAAAAAAACACCCAGCATTTATAATCAATCTGATTAATATTCTGTCCAACTGAACATTTTATTTCCCCAAATTCCCAATGGACAAATCTCAAGATTTCCAAAAGGCTTTGGAGGGTGTGAGCGGGGAAGACCCAAGGCCAATTATCACCAAGAAAGGTATTCAAAGTCAGGGGCTATCTCCAGGATGAGCTGAATTCCAGCTCCTGAACTATTTGACCTTAGACAAATTGTTGAACTTTTTCTGAGACCTTTTTACCTAAAATAAGTGTAATAATCCCTACCTGATAAAGCTCTTGTGAAAATTAAATGGGAATATCTGTAAATCACCCACAATACTTGCCTAATGTGTATCAGACTTTTAATAAATGGTACCCGCCATTAGTCTAAACACATGCCTGTATGAATGCCATGTCTCTAGCTACCATCTGAGCTCTCCTATCTTTAGAGTGGGGATGACTGGTTCTTCCTCATGACACACATACCAAATTTATGTAAAAGGCAGGCTCCTATAATTTAATCCATAATATTTCAATTTCACACTTCCAAGCAATTACTTAAAACTCCTCACAAGTTAGCTTGCACAACTATTCAGTCAACCTAATTAAATATGGACATCTGAGGCCACAGCAGGAGGATCACTAGAGGCCAGGAGTTCAAGATCAGCCTGGTCAACACAGCAAGACCCTGTCTCTACAAAAAGTTAAAAACAAAAAATCAGCCAGGTGTAGCAGCATGTGCCTGTAATCCCAGCTACTTGGGAGGCTGAGGCGAAGGGATCACCTGAGTCCAGGAAGGCTGCGGTGAGCTATGATCATCCCACTGCACTCAGCCTGGGTGACAGCCTGAGACCCTGTCTCGAAAAACAAACAAAAAACAGATGGACATCTAACCACTGATTTTATGCAATACAGAAACCTGCCCAAGATCAGATATATAACACACAAATGGGAAAAAAAGTTTAAACACTAATATTTTAATGCCCCAATGACATTTTCTCTGCTTCAAAGTGACCACATACATATTTATAAAAGGGTGTCCAAAATAAGGCAGACACATACTCTTGGCGGTGATGGGCTCGGTGTTGGGCTTTTAGCCTTTTTGACCGGTACAGCTGGTGACCAGTTTGTAGATGGTGACTGAGACTGGACAGGGGATGGAGGTGCTGGGGGCTTTTTAGCTGCTGGCTCAGGAGACCCGGAGACAGATCGGGAGGATGAGACCCTCCTTACAGACTGTGGGCTTGGGGAAGCAACCCTAGACAAAAAGGAAAAAACATTCAGCACTGAGAACAGACACCTCTTCACATGAGAAAACCAACTACACTGGACAACCAGGTTATGAATTTCAAATATACCACTTAGATTGCTGGTTGATTCTACTAACATATATCCAATTTACATCCCTGTGTTTCCTAGAGGGTGGCTAAAGCCTCATAATCCTCTATCCATTTTGTTAATGATGCTTCTTATGTAAGATTAGTAATGTCAGTTCCTTACATCACACACAAGAAATGTTCTATTTCTTACTTAAGTTTAGTTTTGGAAGCATACCCCTAAAAACAAATTGATAACTGCTAAGAACCAACTAAAAGCCTGTGGCATTTAACTTATGCCATAGAAACTATCTCAAAAATGGAACAGGATCTGTAAATAGTACCTAAAGTTTGACTTAAAAGCTCATATTCATAACTTATTCCTTTTATATTGGGGGGGGCCGGAAGCTTCCAAATATAAAGAGCTATGTAAGTATTCCTAATGAAAAAGCATAAAATATTTTTACTTTTTTATCTTTTTAGGTTCCGGAGTCCTGGAGACTCTCCTAATGGGCCTAGTACTTGGAGACGGGGACTGCCTTCTTTGGGGTGATGATGACGCTCCTCTTCGAACAGGTGGAGGACTTGAGGAGGTCTGAGGAGCTCGAGGCCGTGGTGAGGGCGAATGCCGTTTGTTTGGTTGTGGTGATCGGGCCTCCCGGGTAGATCGGCTTGGGGAAGACCCTTTCCTATGCTTGGATGATAATGAAGGTGAACGTCTCTTGGTGACTGGGGAGCTTCTTTGTTTGGGAGGTGGAGAATGGGAGACCCGCCGCTTTGGTGGTGGAGATGGTGATGCTCTTCGTTTAGGAGGGGGAGGAGGTGAAGCCGTTCTTCTCTTTGGAGGTGGAGAAGGAGAGTATCTCCTCTGTATTGGAGGAGAGTATCTTCTAGGAGAAGGTGAGCGCCGGCGTGGGGGAGGAGAAGGAGTCCTAGGAAAAAGATACATAATTAAGCCGAAAGGCTCAACAAAATACAGAAACAGGATGAAGAGAAAAGTAATCAGCAGGTTTGACTATACTGTAGTTAGCACTAGGCAAAGGGAATATATTTATAAGTGAACATGCCATCTTTATATTCTCACTTAAATATCAATAAAACTTGTTTATCTCAGCTGACTGCAACACAGGACACTTTGTCTGCAGGACTAAGTATAAAAAAGAAAAAAAAGACATTTTGATTAACAAATTTGCAATTTTCAGAAGGTGTGAATTCGTCAAGTCTTTTAACATCTATACGAAATCAACAATGTTTTTTGGAAAGAGAATCTTGCACTGTATTAACTGAACATCAGTTATTATATAATAACCAAGTAACTCTATTAACAAAACTCTATTATGGTCACTTTAGGAAGTCCATGCTTTAAAGAGGTCTCTTACATGGTGTCCTCTCTGAATTAGCATTTGGACACTGTATGAATAATTAAAGAGTTCACTGCACAAGCCTTAAAGACACTTCTACCTCCCCTCAAAGAGACTGTTCCATTTTCTCTTAGAAGACCACTTATTAGGCCAAACTGCCTAATTTCCTCTTGGATCTTGCAGACTTTTAGATCAAAGTAAATTCCTGCCCAGAGTTAGCTTTACAACAGGCCATATACTTTGGAAATGTGGTAGGGTACAGTTTCATCACTGTATCTGGGCAATTATTTAGTAATTCTGAACTCCCATTTCCTCACCTGAACAATGCAAACAATACCAACTATCAAGGAAGGTCTCTTTGAGGACTAGTAGTAAAGCATATAAAGCGCCTAGTTCTTTGCCTGGCACATAACAGGCATTCAAAAGTGGCAGCCAGGCCGGGCAGAGTTGGTCACACCTGTAATCCCAGCACTTTGGGAGGCCAAGGCAGGAGGATTGCCTGAGGTCAGGAGTTTAAGAGCAGCCTGGCCAACATGGTTTCACCTGTACAAAAAATACAAAAACTGGCTGGGTGTGGTGGCAGGTGCCTGTAATCCCAGCTACTCGGGAGGCTGAGGCAGAAGAATCGCTTGAACTCAGGAGGCAGAGGTTACAGTGAGCTGAGATTGTGCCACTGCACAGCAGCCTGGGTGACCGAGTGAGACTGTCTTACAAAAAAGAAAAAAAAAAGGTGGCAGCATGCCATTACATTGCTTGGCAACATATCCGAGCAATGCCATTAAAACTTAAATGTTAATTTTTACTTTAAAATAGTTGTAGATGTACAGAAGAGCTACAAAAATAGGAGATCTGCCACTTCACCATGCTAATATTTTATATAACCATAAGAAAATTAGCAAAACTATAAAATGAACCTCAGTGATAACTCAGTATTACTAAAATAGCAAAACAACCCCAATTTTCCACTAATGAATGTCCCTTTTCTGCTCCAGGACCCTACATCTCTTTAGTTCCTGCCAATCTGTGACTGTTTCTGTCATTGTCTTTCATGATTGACACTTTCGAATACTGGTCAGGTATTCTGTAGAATGACTTTCAATTTGGGTTTCTCTGGTATTTCCTAATAATTAGACTGAGGTTCGGCATAACTGGTAAGAGCATACTACAGAGGTATCCAGGAAATACATGATGCCAGTATGTTTTATTGAGGATGTTATCTTTGATTATTTAGGTAAGAGCTATCTGACAGGAATCTCTAAATTTTCTATTTGCAATTACTAGTCAATACCACCTTTCAATGTATTAACATCTTTATCACAATATGTGATTCACCTGCTATAAAATCCACCTATTTACTCATTTAAAGTATACAATTAAATGATTTTAGTATATTCATATAGTTCTGCAGCCATTACCATCCACATGTCCACCCGACCCTAATCTGTGTTCTATCTCTATAGATTTGTGTATTCTAGACTTTTCATATAGATGGAATCATATGTGATCTTTTATGACTGGCTGAACAATGCTAGTCTGCTTACTCTAATAAGATATAATAATCAGAAAGATTCAGAGATCTTTTTGTAGTTCCTAAGCATGATGATTGGGTTTTCATGAGCTGTGCCTCTCTCCAACCCTGTTATGAAGTGAGCACCGTTACTCATCTGATGTGTCAGGGGTGGGGGGAGTTGGGGAGACGCTCCAGTTAGCGTATCTGACAAAGTACCTTCGTCGTGGTGGTGGTGTGGGAGTCCTGCGCCGTCGAGGAGGAGGGGCGGGAGAAGGAGACCGTCGCCTTCTGGTGGGTGGTGGGGATGGACTTCTCCTCCGTCTACCACTAAACCAAGAAGAATTACTGTTAATTTTTTCTTTTTTTTTTTTTTTTT